GGCACCACCACTGCTTTTTCCCACAGGACCCTCTTGGCAAGGGGGAAGTCACTGGTGTCACAGGCCATGGAGCAGAGCCACACTGGGATCTCGGACCGGTGCGGTAAGAGAAAGCTCTCTCCCACTGGGTAACCCGGCAGCAACTGCTATTTCAGTAAACATATCATTTTGTGCTCAGTAAACACGCATTCCAGAGGAATGCTCTCATTGTTTTTTTGCTCTGTAATGCATTAATGAAGAAATAAAGTTTAGGTTGTGTAATGGTGACAGCTTGAAGTCATTTTGCCCAGTGTTATTTCTCAGCAAAGGCTCAGCTCTCCCTGGAACGGGAGAAAGAAAAGACAACCTGATTTCACTTCAATCTCACCAACATGTGCAAAAAAAATCAAAAAACAGCAGCAATTAACTCCCGTCCACATGCCTCAATAAAACTACATCTCTCCCTCACTTCGAGCTTTGTCACGTATGGGGCTGTTTATGGAGGAGACAATACAAAGTGGGGTTTATACAAGGCTCTTGTTTTAATTTTTGTTTTATATCCACTGGAACCCTCAAGTAGTGAATTCATTTCCTGATATAGTAAACATTTCAGATGGCCAGGATTCTTTCTCTTTTCCCCAATGAACACAAAGCCCTGGTCTAACTCACCAGCAGTGCAGTCTATACAAACAGACCCATCAGCTAAATTTTCAAAGAATGCATCTTAAGCACACAGCTAGGAAAATAAACAAACAGCAACGCCTTCACGAGGCAGACCCTCCCACAAGCAGGAAGCTTTTCTCCCCCAATTTCGCTTGAGCCCTCCACTGCATGTGGAAAAACTATCAGCTTTTCCCCATACTCCAGCAAATAATCTTATTCTCGTAGTTGCACACCAATGGCTGCTGGCTCACTGCTACATGATCTACACAGTCCCTCTGATTTGTGACCCTATTTGCACTATGCAAATGTCTTCTGACAGCTCTCTTTTCCTGTCATTAAAGCAAACAATGGCCCCTGTAACCAAAAAGGAAATCAGTAACAGGCGAAAGCTGTTCTCTCTTTTTCTTTGCTTTTTTTTTTCTGTTAGCTAACTGTTAGCAATTATCCTAAAATATTCACAAACCTTTTCTTCTCCCAAACTGTTTTACTCATCCTAGTGGACAGCCCAACATGTCTAATACAATTGCACTTCTAGAAAACCTAAAACTTAAAAAAACCCCAAAAAACTCCCAAACAAACAAACAAAAAAACCCCAAAAAACAAACCAACGATCAACCAGCTAAAAAACACCTCCTATCCTTTTTTGGATGTATGTATCTCTCTATTCATACACATATAGACAAAAAGAATTGTATTGTATTACTGATTTGAAGAGCTTTTAAAATAGATCCTAATCTATGAAGTAATGAGAAATAAGAAGGTATTTGTGACTGGGGGAGAAGTGCACAGGGAGGAAGACATCTTTCCCTTCAGTAATCTCTCTACTCTCCAGAGCATCTACCCTGTCCTACACCATACACCCCAGCCCAAAAAAGTGCATTGTCGATGGCCAATGGCAGGTAGGGGACACCTGATTACACCTACACCCCTCCCAGTATAGAGATGTTCTGCTTTTTATTTCAGTGGGAAAAGGGCTGCATTCAGAGACTTCAACATACTTAGACACTCTTGGGATTTGTTTCTTTGTCTTTTAAATAATACAATATACATAATCCTAAACTGGGTCAGTTTCCCACCCCATCACACAAGCTTTGTGCCTGTTTGGCTCAGCTGAAGTCAATGGTGCTAATGTTGACATAAAATCATGGTGACCAAGTGGGAAATTAGTCCACTTGATTGTCTTTTGCAAAAATTTTCTAAATGGTCTTAATGGTTTTGTTTGTGGTACGTGTTGCTCACTCCTGATTGTGCTTCTGCCAAGTTGTACTTTTAACTGTAAACACTGGCGTCTCAGAAAATGTGAAGTAGAGCAAACCAGAAAAGATGTTCAAAATAATGCTACAACCTAATTTAATTTATCCCTTGGTAATTGCATTTGTAGATAATGAACAACGCAAACAAAACAGAACCCAAGCCTTTCCAGCCATTGCAATTGCTTTCACATGTGGACACATCGGTTGCAGCCAGCATACGGTTAAGACTCTGACTGTATTAGGAGAAGTGTTTGGAAGTTGTGGGGTTTCGAGATGACACCTGCCTTGGGTCCCTGCTTGTAGGTGCCACCTTTTGAACATTAGCCCATCTGCTCACCTTGGTGAGCCCACCCAATCAGCTCTCCTGTCGTTCTTCCTTTCCTGTAATCCCCGTCCTTAACTCTTCGAGTATCAATCAATCCACTACACGTCGATCTCGGCGGAAATATAGCAGGGTGACTGCTTGCCAAACTCCATTAACCATGCAACTGTAGTCCCATCTCCTGGCCCTGTTCCAGTAAGCTATTTACATGCTAGCCTGATTTTAATCTCATGGACTGCTCCAAGTAAATCCTGTTGAATTTCGGCCTCTGTTTGCAAATGCTACAGGAACTTTACAGATTTGTTTGACACGCCATTATTACGTGAATGGTTTCTCTGGCCATTTCTCAGTCTTTGGGCTGCTTGTAAACTATGCAACCTGACTGCAGTTCAACTATTTGTTAGTTGCCTTTGTTTTTTTAATTTTCATTTGTGCTCTTCTTAGTGAGTTTATGCATGTGTCCCTGTTTACCTCCGTCATGTGGCAGAGCTTCTTCACTTGGATTTGAAGAGGCTGGAACCCACAAGCAGCTCTCAAAACCAGTTATGCAAACCCCTCACTGCACAGATTTGCACGAGCGTTTGTCTGACAGTTCAAATTTACACAAGTACCTGCAACATGTCCCCATCCTCTGAATATTTCAGCAAGTGTTGTTGTACCTGCCCGACAGCTTGCCAGAGGCAATCACTAGGAGAATCGTTGTCAGTGCCAAAATAAACTCATGGTTTTTATTTGAGGGAGGACTTGTAAATAGTATTTTTCTAGCATTCACCCGATTCTAAGTGGAACTCCCTGTGTGATGAATGCTGTTTACAGTGCAGCTTTGTTGTGAAACAGGGAAAAAAGGCAGTTTCTTGTACTTACTGGCAGCATGCCAACATGGTGGAGGAAGATACATCTCCTCCTGCTGTCACTCCATTTCTTGCCCCATTTCTTGCTCTGCTTTGCGTGAAAAGCCCACATGGATACATAGGATTTTCATGCTCTGATAGTGGCAAATTTTAAGGAAGATGAATGGGGAAGTGGCTCTTCCTGGGCCAGCAATAAAGGTGCAGAGACATGAGGGCCCCAGCAGTGGGCCAGGACCTGGTGCAGCACAGAAGGAAGGTGGGCCAGAGAGCCAGAAGGCCCATCTCTACCACTTTGTGTCTCCAGGTAATTGTGGATTCTCCCACACACCCCAAGAAACCCACACTTCGCAATGATGAAATCACACTTTTCTCCCACTAGGAAAAGCTTTTTCTTTCTGCTTTTTCCCATTTTTACTGTGTTTAGAGTGAAAGGGAATTCTCTTTGCAGATGGAGCGTAGGAATGGGAGCATTGTGGTGTCTCTGCAAATGCCACATAGCCCTTCTGAAAGCCTGCACCTTCAACCATTTAAGACCTGCCATTTTTGTTTCCATACCATCCTCAGAGAGGAGGAAGAAACATCTGGAAGCTACTGGTGCATTCAGGGTAGTTTGGGAAGCTGGAGGATGTGGAGGATTATACAGGAATGCAAGCTCAATTAAGGCTAACACCACGGAAATTCAAGAGGAACTCTGGCAGTGTGAATGGCATCACCCCAGATTTCTGAGACTTTTAGGAGCTGCTACTTGAAGGTCCTATCTTTGACATAGCCCCAAGCTCTGATCACTCCACCTCCTCCTTCCATCAACACTCATGTCTTAAATGAGAGCTAGGTGCAAGCATCTACTGCTCCACAGAGTCCATTGGTTCCCAGGCTGGAAAGTAGCTGCCGGCTTTAGAGACACTTTAACCCTCTTTTTGCATTTGAGGTATGTCCTCTCTTCACCTACACTTCTTTGTGGGTATTTTTGTTGTTTTTTTAATTCCCATATTTAAAGCTGATGACTTTGCTTGCTACATTAGCCGTTCACCTGTTTCTGTGACTGAGGAATGGCTTAAACACTCTTTTGACATAGTCCCTTGAAAATGGGTTGCTTGGCTGCGGTCAATGAACATAGCGTGGGAAAAATGCATTAATATTTTCACTGGTAACACTGAGGATGGTTATAAATAAACTCTTCATTACAGTATTTATATATTATTACATCATATAGCCACTTAAAACAGAGAGCAATTGGAGGTGCTGAATAATGTAAGGATAATCGTCTCTACATTAGTTCCACTGTCATTGGCATTATGTATTTCTTGGTGATATTGCCATGTTCACTGCTTCACCCAGTGTTGCGTGACATTGGTGGTGACGTTAGAGTATCAACGGGCCCTCTGCAAATGACATACAGTACTTTGCACGACACATGTAGCTTGGTATTATATAATAAAGGTGCTTCACTGGAGAATTTTGACAGCACATGCTCTTTTTCTGACTATTTCATTCAAAGTGTCCATTTCTCAAAGATTTTCTTTAAAGCAGCCATCTAAACATGCCCATGGTGCAAGGCTCCAGCACCCTCATGCATGGAGAAGGAAGATTTGCATCACAGTGGCCAACCATGCATTTTAGGAATCACCCAATGTTGTGCTGATGAGGCATTTGGGTCCCAGGTGTCTCCTGCCCAGTGTGATGCCTTCTCCAGCCAGAGACATAGCCAACAGAAATGGTGAGGGCAGAAAACTTGAGATGCTCAGAGCCTGGCAAGAAGAATTTCAGTGGAGATAACTCAAATTCATGTCACTTGAATCCAGTTGGGCATACAGAGGACTTCCTCCTAGAACAAATCGGATTACTTCAAAGTGTTATTAAATGATAGAGAAACATCATAATTCGAGGTTTTGTGGTGGTTTTTTTTTGGTTTTGTTTTTGTTGGTTTTTGGGGTTTTTTTTTTAATTGTTGTTGTTGCTGATCTTCATCCTTTTTCAGAGGAGAAGAGTGGCTGGATACATTGTCTGGCTGTGCTTAGACCATGACTGAATAAGCTTACTTGCTGACTACAGATTTCAGTTTCCTCAGTTTTGACATGCTTCTCCTTAAGGAAGTCCAACAAAACAAACCCCCTTTCTCTTTACTTGAATGCTTCACTGCTGGTTTTCATGGCAGGGATGCTCATCTCGATTACACTGTGGTCAGCAGTGTTCAGTGCCTCATTGATCGTCACTTGTCAAACGTGCTCCTGTGTGGCATAGAAGACCAAGTTCAGAGGAGGATCTCCTCCACCACAGTGCTTGGAAGGGGCTGCTCCCAAAAGAAGTCATTTCAGATGTTGAGAAATCGCATCTCTGAACCTTGTCCTCACATGACATATGACCAATTTCTGCACAAAGATCTGCAGTCGACTTTTATTACAGCTCTGATTTAGCTGCTTCTTTGATTTATCGCAACAATGCACATTCAATATCTTTCCTCTGATCTGGGGGCCAGAAATATAACTCTACTCATATGTTTGTATTTTCAGGACTTTGGATTTCACAGATTCAGAAACTCATTCATAGATTCACAGGATTTAAGGCCAGAAGGAACCATGAGAACATCTGGTATGACTTCCTATATTTCAAAGCCGTTCAGTTGCATCCAATTAGCCCAGTACTGAGCCCAGTAGCTTTGCTGCATCGTCCAGAAAAACATCTAGCTCCAGATATACAAAGATATGGGAATGTGAACACTTCAGAAGTTGGAGACTCATCACTTACTTGATTTTGAAGGTGCCTCATTAAAAAATGTGCCTCATTTCTAATCCACTTTTTCACATTTAGTCATCAGTCTTACACTTTTCTCTTCTTCATAACTGAGTGGCATTGCCTGGTACGCTTCATTCTTCAAACTTCGGACCTGGGTTTTTTTTTAACCCTGGCAACTGGAAAAAAAAGCTGATATATCAGAAGTATTTGTGAGTCAACTTTACTGCAGTTTCAGTTATTTAAAAACTTTTTGCACTATTGATTGTATTATTATTTGTTCTTAAATAATACAGAGAAAAATCACTTGGGATACTTAAAATTTTTTTCAAAATACTTTCATTTAGAAAAATGAACAGAAATTGAACTTCTTGATGCAAAAAACAGACTGATGTTTCTTGCTGAAACAAGGGCTGTGACCAACCTTGCCAAAGGACTTTTGAACATCTCACCCCTCTCCCTGTACAGATGTGTTGTATGTTATTACTCTCTCCCCATCCCTTTCTGATATAGAGATGGAGATAGATCTGTGTTTCACACCATCAAGACATATTTTCCAGCTTTGAAATAATTTGTGCAGTCTCACTCTACACCCTTTCTGTTTTTCAGTAGCTATACCTTTTGCTGGGACTCCTGATCCTGAAGATCATGGCTGTATTTTGTCCTTCTGGCAATTTGTCAAGGACATACTTTTCTCACCATTGCAAATTTACACCAGAAGCTTCTAAGTTTTGGTTAGTCTTATCCTTCCTTACTCTTTTTGAGTGGGCAGAAATTTTAATGATACACAAATGGCCTTCTGAAAGAGGCCATTTCAATTTCATTTTCAGAACTCTATGACTTTCTGCCCTCCATTCAAATGTCTTCAGTTTTCATTAATTTTAGTGTACTCAGTAAATAGCAGTGGAAGAGCTGGGAAGAATCAGATACTTATCTCACATGGATTTCTCCATCTTTTGTAGTACATGAAATTTAAAAAAGCTGCTGTTTGGGCTAAGGAATGCAATAACTGGACACTGTCAGGGAGAAATGCCAGTGATGTTAATGGCAGGAATGTGGGTACCACCTAGCCACTGTGTTGCTAATACTTGTAGTTTTTACCTCTGGGCCTGAAGAACTGCGTCATCTGCCTCGCTGGAAGTCATGCTCTGAACTTGTTTTGGAGAGCTGGTGGGTGATTGTAAAGACTTACAGCTAAGGAATGTGGCTTTGTCTCATATAGTGCTGTTTAAAAGCATCCAGGCTGGGGTTCTTGGTCTCCCAGGAGCCACAGAATGTGGAAGAGGAAGAAAATCATTAATATTGATAGTGCCAGCCTTGGAGGAGCACCCCGGGGCTCCATCTGTGAGTGCAACCCTAGCATCCAAGGCGCAGAGCAGACAAGAACACTGTCCCTTTGCTCGAGGACAACCATGAGACCAATGTACCCGAACACTGCAGGCATGGCCAGTTACTGCCTGTTTGTAGGCAGTTCTGGAGAGGAGCTGTCTCTGGACCCTTCTGCAGGGTCATTTCAGCAACTGATGGTATCCAAAAGGCTCTAAAAATTGAGTCTTTGCCAGAGAAAACATGCTGGTAGGAAGAGAGTCTTTGGTCAGAGGCAGACTGCCTGCTTGTAAAGAAGTAGAAGAATGTAAATTCTGTGGCAAAACCTGTCATTTCTGGAAAATTCTGACTTCCTTCTTTCTGGGTTTTTGTACTGATCCATCATTTACGAAATAGTTATGCATCCCATGTGACTGTTATATGACCCCCACATGGCTTGTACCAGTTTTACTGGCAAGGAAGGAGCTGTGGTACAAAAGAAAATTAGTGGAGCTGAAGGACTGAGCCACAGGGGAAGTCTCTGGTAAAGGAAGGAGTTACTCTGCTTTCCTCTGGCCACACTTACACTCTTCCAGTCTCGCAACAGCCATGGTAGATAATAGCCAAGCTGAGCAGAGCTGCGACCTGCTCCTGTGGATCTCCAAATGTCGAAAGCATTTTGGTGTGGGTGGGCAGGCTCAGTCTCTTCTTCATAAAAAAACCCCAAAACCCACAAAAAACAAAACAACAACAAAAAAACTACTGCTGTGAGGGAGTCAAAGGTGATTTTGCTCTTCTTCTTGGCCCTTTTGCTGCTTCTGTGGGAATCCAGCAGTATTGTTTCCAGAAGGCTCAGTCTCTGTCACCCAAGTGTTTGGCATGTTTGGGGACACCCTTACTACTTCCCTTTCCTCCCCTGCAGAAGAGTCCAACTCAGCTTTGACCGCAAAGCCCAGGAGGCCTTGGAGTTTGTCTGAAACAAAGAAAAAAGATTGCGAAAGGCGGTGGTGTCAAATAATGCTTCCATTTAGTAGGAATTTTGCTCCCCTTGCATTCCCAGGCAGCACCTGCTGTGTGAGGCTCTTGGCCAGCTCCTCTGAGCCTCTGTGGTAAAACAAACAAAAACAGCAGGGAAAAAAATTCCTCTTTATAACGCCTGTTATCCTCAGGCTACCTTCCAACACTGCCTCGCCTCCCCATGTCGACTGTACTCTCCAGGGAAACAGGCTACTACGGGGCCAGAAAGCCTTGTGCAAATGGGCAGTTGAGCAACAGAGGAAGAGACCCTGTCTTATTGAAAACAAGACTGTTTTCCTCCTCTTCCTTCATCTCTAAATGCAGAAGGGTCTTTATTGATGTTCCTGCCAAAAAAAAAAAAAGGAAAAACTGTCATGTCGTTACTTCCATAGCAAAAGCAATCAGAAATTATCCTGCATTAGTGGAAAATAGGGTTGGTTATCCACTGTTGCTTCACACATCTTAGCGTTTCAGGGTAGTTCTGAAGTTGTTTTCCATTTTGGAGCATGGTGGAACTGGCTGTGCTGGAGGTTGTTCATGTTTATCTGGTGTTCAGCCCAAAATGGCCCACCTGCCTTTTACCTGCTCAGCCTGCAGCTCTGCCACACCATCAGTGTTGCTGGTGGGGACTTGTGCAATCTTCAGGAACCAGAATAACCTCTCACAGAGGTTTAACAACACCTTTCTCTCCTCACACTCCCCCTGCTATCCCTGCCTGCTCTGCACTTGCTCAACTGAGGAAGGAAAAAGACTTTTAGGACCTTGTTTTTGATCCTACCTTTAGGCAACATCTTCCAGATAGCTTTCACTAGGCTAAATAGCCCTGTATCTGATATGGACAGAGATTCAGAGGCTGTGATCCCCTGGTCTGACCTTAGCACAGGCTATCAAATGACTGCTGGCATCCAAAGCAGATGCAACGTGCCCATAACCCATGCTTTCTTCACCCACACTGCCTTGATTTCACCTGAGACAGAGCTCCAAGTCAAGTGTTTTCAGTAAACTTTGGGTCTACTCTTTGGACAGTCTCCCTTCCTTCCCTCTTAATGCATACCTGATTGAGGGCAAAGAGAAAGCAAAGATGCAGAAAGGTATGCACTGAGAAAATCCAGACTTTGTCAAACTGATAGGAGAACTGCACTAGACCTTCCACTCTCCTCATCAGAGCTTTCCCAAGGTGTGGGCCAACACCCATGCACAGCCCACTGGGGATCACATTCAGGATAGACAGCTCGGCTCCTTGTTAGGTTGGAAGCAGCGTTTTATCTCAGTGCGCCTGACAAGATGTCTCTGCACCCTTCAAAAGAAAAATGCTCTCCAAATGGCTCCCATTCCTTCTCTAGACTCCTATTCTGTGTTTGATGTCCCGTGTGTATGTCCTTTTTTTCAAATGCGCTACTAAAACCACCACAGAAGAGACCGAGATGCCACCTGGAGACTCTCCATAGCCTAAGAGTGAGGTTTTGCTTTACTGCCTGAAAGACTCTGCCTCAGGAGAGAGCTTCGGTTTCTGAACTTAGTACTGGCACTTACCATGTGAGACACTACTCTTTCATTGCCCAGATCTAGCAGTGGTAATGACAGAGCCTCTCTGATGCAGTTATTCTCCATGAAGTTATTGGACTGACCAAGTTACTCTTCTGACCAAGTGCAGGTGTTCACTTTCGGATGATACAAAACACTCTACAAACTTCTCTATGTTGACTAGACCACCCATGAATATAACAGGAGTTTGGCTGCCCAGCTCATTTGTGAACTGGAGGCTGCTGTAGTGAAGCAGGATGAGTAGAGGATGCCTGATAGCAGGTCCCTCACTTCTAGGCTTGAATCATAGTGAAAATTACTTCAAAGACAGCACCAAACTGCAATCCTAAATTTTATACTTGGTAAGAACATCAGCAAGCGATGATGTGTAAATTCAGAATCGAACATTTGCCTGAAGCCATTGTCTATCAATGCCTTGACATTATTCCTGTGATATTTTGCTGGTACTACTTGCTCACATCTTGAAAGTCTCCTGCCTTGTTAGCACAACCCTAGTAATTTTGGTGCATGTTGCATTGTTGACTTAGGAGTTTTAACCATCACTTCAATTTCTGCAGCAAAAAGCTGAACGCTAGCATTAACACTGAAATTACCACAAGTGCCACTGCCACAGAAAGCCCCAAGCTACCTGCCGTAGACCACTGCTCGTGCTCACAGAGGCAAACATCCTGTCCCTAGCACATGTCCTCCAGCACAGGGATCTTCACTAAACAGCCACGCCTGTTCGTGATTCCTTCTTCTTACCCCCCTTGCTCCCTCTATACCCCTAAAACCCGGCATGGCACATTGGCTTTAATCAGTGACTTTGCAATTTCAAGCTAGAGTCGCATTTAAGTAGCCAGAATGGTGCAAGGAGCCCGTATAATTACTGCTGGGATTGTGCTGCATAGGGCCCGTGTAACAAACTCGCCTCAAATAACCCAGCTTGAATGTCAGAGTCCGTGCTGTATTGTGTTTCACATTCTGGCTGTGGGAGCACTTCCCCAGCAGGAATCAGGGTAACAAATCCCTTACTCTCACAGGAGGGTCCCATAAAATGAATGATTCTGGATCTCACGCTCTTGAGGAGGTCTCAGTTACTCCAGCAGTTGCTGCTTATAGGGGAAGCAACCATAGGGGACAGAGGGAGGGAAGGGTGGTTTGGCAAGCTTTGGTGTATCATCACCCCAGTGTTAGAGTGGGAAGGAGCATCAGGGCTCTCCTCTCCCCTCCAATCTATACTTTTGCATAGATGTTAAATTAAAATGAAGTCAAAAAACAGAGAGTAGATAAACCCTGAGGCTGAGATTGAATCAAATGTACCCGCTTGAAATCCTGCATGGCTGTTGGTGGCAAGAGGCTCCCATTTCCTCTCAGCTTAGACTTCCCTGTGAGCAGCACCAACGTCAGTATATTTATGGGGTAGCATAAAATGAGACATGTTTGTTCTCTGTGCACCAGGGCCAAAATCCTCCGCTCCCTCCTAGAGTAGCTTATGGTATCCCCTGTGGCTCAGCAGCCAACACGGCTGCCTCTTCATCCATGTCCGAAACCTGAACTCCCCCACTTCTCCTTGGGAGACAGAGATTGTTCCCTGAACTATCTCCAGTCTCTTGTTATCTTGCTTTCCTTGTCAGCCAGTGAACTGTGAAGCGACAGCAGAGAGAAAAATGAACTCTAACCTCATTTTCCCCCCCTACAATTAGCCAGAACCGTGCCTTTTATTTTTTTTTCCTCCCCACTTTTTAAATGATTAATAAGACAACATGGTCCTTAGCTTCTGCAGTGAGGCAAGTGTGCTGACAAAGCACTGCGATGCCTCTTCCAGGTCACCCGGCAGCAGGCCATGTCTTTATGAAAACATAAAAATTGGAGGGACTATTTGAGGAATTTGTAGACTGAGACACAGGAATTTTGCCCTTCAGACCCTGGCAACTGCATTCTGCAGTGGTCTCTGAGGCCCAGCGACTGCCATGGAAAGGAGTAGCTGCTTAACAGCAACCTGCAAGCCCTGAAAAACAGATTTTTCTTTTATTATGTTGCTTTGAAATATTCAGCCGCTGCCCTTTGCCTGTTTCATGCGGTGACAGCCTCAGGGCGTGCTGCAAGCTGGATCCAGTGGCAAGACACAGATCTGTAAACACCCTCAATGGCAACACACAAGGGGATCCTCACTCCTGCTCGCCCTGCATCTGAGCATCACTCTTTCATGTGTGCTCATCTGTCTCCTGGGTTTCCAAAGCTCCTACTGCAGTGGGGAGTAGGGAATTTAGGCCAGGTGGAGCCTATTCGCTTAAATCGTCCGTGTCTTTGTTATGCCACCTGTTGCATTTGGAGACAGAAAAAGCCCCTGTGCACTCCCAGGCATTGACAAGGCTGGAAGAACTCACACCACAGGGATGCTCCTGCAGGGTGGGCAGGTGAGGAAAAGGACCTTCACCAGCACAGGCATAAAAGGGAAAAGCACTGGAGAACAGCACTGGGGTGAACAACTCTGGATTGGCTTCTGGTTGATGGATTTAACATCTGATTTGGCTTACAGAAGGTAGTGCCTGCACCCCAGTCCTGTCAATCAGAAAGCATCACTTAAGGAGTTGCTTTCTGCAGTACTCCCAGCAGACTCCTCTGTATCACTGGGGCTTGAGAAAGCCAATGACAGGCCAATCCATGCAATATCTTTAAGACATTTTAAAAGCAAACAAGTGTACCAGTGGAGTTGATCAAGCTGCAGGCTGCTGCTGAAAGAGTAGCGGGGTTAGAGCTTTCTTGAAAACCACCTTGGCACATTAGAGAAACAACTTGCTCCTAGCTACAGCTGTAGAGTGGCCTGTAGTGTAAACGATGTGATTCTTGCCATCTCATGGTGTCCTTGTGTACCAGTTGTGAGGCAGTTAGCCAGAAGAGGAGGGCATGCTGCTGGCTGAGGGACAGCAGTGGCACTGCCGGGGGGAGTAGAAGCCAGTGAGTGAGCATGGAGTCTCCTCCAGAGCCATGAATGCAATGTCAAATCCTTCAT